CAACCATATTAAAAAAAACGTTCAAAGGACTTCAGGAAATAATCAAGTTTGGAAGTTCTAGAATGATTTTGCTCGATCCTCATCTGAACTTCGAAAGAGCATAAAGAGCGCTCATGTCTGATTAAGGTACTTTCAAACCGTACCCACTTTCTTATCCTCCTGGTAAACAACAGTCCACAAAAAAGCACCACTTATAATGCTTCGCATTTTTTACTTATATTAATCCCGCTGGTCCATATCGTTTACAGGCTCAAAACGAACGCCACTTAAAACTTATTACACTCATCTCACTTATTATACACTGTTTTTAACTTACCTAATGTTCAAACTATATGTTGTAAACTTAAAGAAAACTTCCTGGCGCTTACCTAGAATAGAAAACAAACAAACAACTTATGAATCTCATATCGTGATTTAAATACTGTTATTTGCTTTCTGTAAGAAAGAAATTGTTTAACAATATTAATTCTTCTTAGAGTCTAATACTTTGTTATAGTTCCTTACATGTTAATTAAGAAGTTTCAAAGACCATGAATCGGTCTCACTTATTCAAGGACTTCTCACCCAAAGGACTCTTAAGGAACTCTAATACACTTGGTAACTAGCAAACAACAATGTTACACCTTCAGCATTACTTATGGTAAGGTTATAAAATAATCGATCCAACAGAATGCATGACAAGAAGTAAAGTTTCAGTTAGGTTATCACAAAGAAAATTCTATCCGTAAATGGAGGTTATATATGTGAAGAAAAGAAGGCTTATTGTATTGAAGTTCTAACAATACGCAATTATAAGCACAAATAAGCCTGTATAATATCAAAAACGTATAAAACCATAAAAGTATGTTAATAAAGAACGAAAAACATATATATGTATCTGTTTGTTTGTTTTGAATTTCGTGCAAAGCTACACGAGAGCTATCTGCGCTAGCCGTCCCTAATTTAGCAGTGTAAGACTAGAGGGAAGGCAGCTAGTCATCATCACCCACCGCCAATTCTTGGGCTACCCTTTTATTAACGAATAGTGAGATTGACTGTCACATTATAACGCCCCCATGGCTGAAAGGGAGAGCATGTTTGGCGGGACGGGGATTCAAACCCCCGACCCTCAGATTGCGAGTCGAGCCTCCTAACCACCTGGCCAAGATGTATCTAAATAGCAGAAAAATACACAACGGTTTCCTTAATGACTGTAAGTAAACAAGATTTGAACAAAAAAAAATACGTAGAACATTACATATACATACGGACTGAAGGATATAAGATATCGAAGTTAACAATATATAGAAAAATACACATTTATATGGACTGGAGGATATAAGATATTAAAACTAACAATATTTATAATATATATATATATATATAGTGTACATATATAGGGACTGGAGGATATGAGGTATCAATTGTAGCAGTCTGTAGGACAATACACATATAGACTGAAGGATATAAGGTATCAATGCTAACAATATGTAGAACACATATATAAGAACTGAAGGATATAAGGTTTTCACCCTAACAATATGTAGAATAGTACACATATGTAAGAACTGAAGCATATAAGGCTTTCATCCTAACAATATGTAGAATAGTACACATATGTAAGAACAGAATGATATAAGGTTTTCACCCTAACAATATGTAGAATAGTATATATATGTAAGAACTGAACGATATAAGGTTTTCACACTCACAATATGTAGAATAGTACACATATGTAAGAACTGAATGATATAAGGCTTTCATCCTAACAATATGTAGAATAGTACACATATGTAAGAACTGAATGATACAAGGCTTTCATCCTAACAATATGTAGAATAGTACACATATGTAAGAACTGAATTATATTAGGTTTTCACACTAACAATGTGTAGAATAATACATATATATAAATGGACTGAAGGAATGAAAGTATACTCAAAGATACAGATATATACAAAGACGACCATATAACAGTTACAGAAAGGTGGTCTACTTTAGCAATGTTTCCAGTCGCGTAGTTTTTCTTAAAGATTAAAGAAGACTGTGAAGAGCAAAGACTTGTAAACAAATGAACGTGTTCTTTAACTATTTGTCGTCGAACAGATAGCCGCATTAAGTTCAGAGAGCTTAAAAGGTTATGCGAAAAGTCGATGTTTTCTCACCGTGTGACATAGGAGATGTCACGATGCACATGCCACGTATATGCTAAGATCTTCCCAACCACAGAACCAGTATGAAGACAGTTCACCGAAGAAGTACAATCAGGCGCGTCAACACTTCGCCACGTGTGTGAATACTGACTACCATATGGTTACCATATGTTCTTTTTTCAAACGGTACGGTCTTTGTTCCAATCATTTTACCAGCTCGCCCACTTGAGAATCATACAGGTCTAAGGTTAAGACGTACTTGTTGAGACACACATCTGTGAACAATCTTTGGTTTACCGGCTCCTCATTTCCACTAAGACCCAACAACCTTTTCGGAAAAACCTTTTGTTTTGATGTCACCACGTGGAAGGGTGAAAAAAAAACATCGAACAGAGAACAATGAAAAAATAAAATAAACAAGCGCTTACACGACCCATAATTAAGAGATAAATGACACGAATTTTTGAATGATATTTTGAATGGGTAAATATATATATAAAAACTGCAAGTCGCACATTAAACGAACAGCCCTCCAGTAGCGCAACGGTGTGTCTGCGGACTTACAACGCTAGAATCCGGGTTTCGATACCCGTGGTGGGCAGAGCACAGATAGCTCATTGTGTAGCTTTGTAATTACAAACACACAACCAATTAAACGAGCTAAGTATTAACAAGGTAATTTTAAAATAACGACATAGTATGTTGCAATCATATAAAACCTCTCTTTGTGTTAATAAAGGCAATGGTTGGCTGGCGACTAGTATCCGAAAAGCTATGAAATTGTAAAAAAAACGTGGAATGTCGTTCTTACATAATTATAGATTTGTTGCACACAAATACCCAAAGTAAGTTTCAAAGTTCAGTTCCGAAGTATGATGCACGAAATAGTCTTAAAAAAGTCCCAAATCTTCACTTTACGCATGCTCTATACGTATTCAGAATTTGAATTTCGCGCAAACCTAAACGAGGGCTGTCTGCGCTAACTGTCTATAATTTAGCAGTGATAGACTAAAAGAAAGGCAGCTAGTCATCACCTCTCACCACCAACACTTGGGCTACTCTTTTACCAACGAATAGTGGTTTATTATATTAGTTACTCAAAATATGCTCTTGCATGTACCGCTAGTTTGTGCAATAGGTTTTATGAATCAGATTATTTTCTGAACGTTTGGTCAACAATTCTATTACGTCAAATTTCCTTGATATCAGTCTGGCCACAAAAAAAATACCATATTATAGAGGTCTTGCGCTGTTTCTCGACGTATCTTTCTTTATGCATATCGCTAAGATAACGTTAATCGTCAGATAAGACGATATTAGAAGATAAATTTGTCGCTTTTCACTTTGGACTTCGTGACGTCTAAATAGCCGTATAATTTTCGATCTGTTTCATTTGTCAAAAGCCATTTACATCATATAAAGCTTTACCGAATCTTGTATTGATATGGGTTGCTGTTTGTTGCTAAAAGGGAATGTTTGACGTCCAATATGGCAGCGTTGAATGAAACAGGAAGTCACCTGACGTTATCTGCAGGACCTCTAAATACACTATATTACCAATAACACTGGGATATCACACCTTTATAAGGGCTGTTCTGTTTCATACCTAAGGACCATATTGTAATAGGAATATTTCAGCCTTTGGCGTTAATATAGCGTATATTTTATTATAAACTTGCTACCATCCGTTAATACAAATATGGTTGAGTATCCCACCACAACTCTTATTACAAAAACAGCACCAAATGCAATGAGATTTAGTGATTCGTCAACCCTGCCCCGAAGAAAGATGGTCAAAATTTTCCAAGTTGGATTCAGGTCAAAGCCCTAGACTAACGAAGGCATATCCTAGTCTTATACCATTGCAATATCGCTTGGGGTACATGCATTATGATGAAGAAAGAAGTATTGTCATTTTCCATACACGGCCTGGCATGGCCAAGTTTAAGGGCGTTCGACTCGCAATCTGCGGGTCACGGGTTCGAATCCCTGTACCACCAAACATGCTCGCCCTTTCTGCCGTGGGGACGTTATAAAGTGACAGTCAATCCCACTATTCGTTGGTAAAAGAGTAGCCCAAGAGTTGGCGGTGGGTGGTGATGACTAGCTGCCTTCCCTCTAGTCTTACACTGCTAAAATAGGTACGGCTGGCGCAGATAGCCCTCGTGTAGCTTTGCTCGAAATTCATAACAAACCATTTTCCATACAGTTCTATAAATGCATAAAGTGAAGAAGGGTGTCACACTATTCATTGCTCTCTTTATAATTAACAAGATAATAACAAGCCACTCTTCACGTTATAGGATGGCATAGGGTGTCGTCAAACCTAGACTCGTCCATCCAAGATAAAATAGATAGCAGAACGTATCGCTCCACATAATGGATTTCCAATGCTCTTTAACCTTGAGATAAGAATCTTCCATTCATAGCTGTGATACACTTTATGGACTACAATATATTTCATTCATACGTGATACGCCTTATAGACTACAGTATCTTCCATTCATAGCTGTGATACGCTTCATGGACTACAGTATTTTCCACTTATAGCTGTGATACGCCTTATAGACTACAGTATCTTCCATTCATAGCTGTGATACGCCTTATGGACTACAGTTTGGATGCACCAATCGTGATATAAGTGTCCGGATACATGTGAGTAATTTGTTGAAGAAGTGGAAGGTCAATAGGTGGGCTAGTTCGAATATTGGCCTAGACGGGTCAAAGTTAATCACTCCTTAATCCATATGAAGTTTGAAACATGTTAAGAAGCGAAAATGCAATTTGGTATTAGATCCATTGCTATTTAATGAGGATGTAGTATTGCAAGTCAGCAGATGAACGTTGCTCTGGGAGCTCTATTCTGCTTTGTTTTATGGACGGACTGTAGTCCATAAAGCGTATCACAGCTATTAATGAAAGATACTGTAGTTCATAAGGCGTATCACAGATATGAATGAAGGATACTGTAGTCTATAAGCCATATCACAGCTATGAATGGAAGATGATGCGAGCTTTAAAATGCCCCTCTCCCCATAAAGGAATTCTGAAATACTCCCCCAATAATAAATATAAGTTAGAGAAACCGAGTAAAACCTAATTTTGTCAATTAAAGCAAACTATGAATAATTTTCAAGAGTCGTTTCTCTGATAAGTGTGTTTGGCTAAAAATTTCTCACAAAGGTCATCCAACCATATGCGTCCCTAAATTTAACTGAGAAACTTGAGTATCCATC